AGATCTTGTAGCATTAAGCGCGCATATGAAAAGAGGACGCAATGAATTCCTAATTTGTTTATTAGAATTCGAACAAAACAACAACATAAAAATCAGAATGTCGAAGCGTGCTTCACACGGCCACTTAAGGACCCATACTTGAGGCTAAATCACAAACTCTGCAAAAAACACAATTTCTTGCAACGATGAACTGAATCAATCGATTCGCAGTGTTGAGTGCCTTTATATTGTATATTGATCTGTATGTGGACTTTCAATGCACCACCCATCTGTGCTGTCCTTAACAAATTACATATTTTGCATTAATGCTCCTGCACACAAAACATTGAGCCGCGGTTGAGCTTCTGCTGAGCGAATACTCTTTATCAGCAATAACTGAAAGGTGTTAGAAAGAAAAACGCACAGCTGTAATGCAATTGTAAAAACGAATCAAAGAGCCGGTTCTCCCATTTGTTACATAATGCTTACACTGCCCGTATTCTTGTTGATCTCGCAGCACGCAGAACAAGATAGCGTCCGAAGAGCGTCTCAAAAAAGAACACGAAAACCGACACACCAAAACACGGCAGTACAAACTGCGCCACACCAACAATATTCAGCGACTCTGGCGACGACTGTATTTTTTCTTTTGGCTGAGATACCTTGCAGTGTATGTTAGCCATGTGGAACCAATCAGTCTCGGGGAACGCACGGGTAGCGCACGGTCGAATTGCGCCAGCATCCAAAGCCGTTTCGAGTTTAATCAGATCGTCCACAATTGGTTCTCGAATGCGAGCGACCAGCCACGAAGTCAATTGGCCTCTGAAGTACACCGAAAGGGAGTAGCTACCCAGGACCCTTGCAAGGACGACAAAGCGGCGACTTGTACAGAAGGGGGCAGAGGCTTGCAAAGCACAAGATGTCGAATAGAACGTCGCAACATGAAAAAGCATGGTATCGTTGGCCACGGTCATCCCAGATGTAGTAGCATCTAATAAATCTTTAGCAACGAGTGCGATGGAGCAGAATGCGAGACATAGCACCAAACAAATCAGCGACAGCTTCGACCCTACGATTACATACTCAGCAGTGACTGGGATTGTGCCTGATTCCTTAACGTAGAACGTGAATGTTACGATATTGTTGACTATTGGTAGATCAAAATCTCTAACAAGCCCCCTAGAGACTTTTTAAGAGTGCATAAGAATATCAAATTTATTACCCCGGTAATGGCGCTCAGTATCCCCTGCTGCGAATACTGTCCTTACTAGTGCTGCACTGAGGAGGGTCAGTGCCTCTAGTATTATTTTACTGCTGTACGCATCGCAAGAGCTGAAGCGTTTAGATATGCTGGGCGACGCCGTGCAGGCTATGCTTACCGCCTTCCCGGAAAACGAATGGAGACTACGCGGGACACTTTTCCCTAGGTGATTTTTTTAAAGAGTGATCGGTTTCGTGCAGTTTATAGTCGCGGGATCGCTTGGAACCCATATCAATGGTTACCATTACAGATTTCTGGAATTGCGCCGAATCAACGCAACAACAAAGCCTCATCTGGTGACTACTAAACTCGTAAGGAGAACGTAGGCATGTCTCGAAATGTCCGATCACAGCCATTTGGCTGCATACCAAAACCTGTGGTGTTCGGGCACCGGGTCGATGCAGGCTTCTGGCGTTCCTCGATGACGGTACGTCATAAGAAGGGTCCGAAACCCGTACAGACCCTATTGGAAAACCCCAATATAAACAGCGTATTATGGAAATTGGTAAACAATATATTTTTATTGTATTGCAATACAATATAGACAGTGTATTGGAAGACATTACATTTATTGTATTGTATTACAATAAGGATTTGTTATGGGATTCCAATATCCATAATACGCTGAAAATATTGGAATCCAATACCGTATAAACCCTCATTGGATCCCCATGTGTCGTATGGGGATCCAATAAGGGTTTACGATTCCAATATACTCAGCGTATTATGGATATTGGAATCCAATATATTATATCGGCTACCAATAAAACTATATACGAGTTGGAATATCACGTTCAGCGCAACATTTCTCTGCAACGCAGTCTCTTCTTGTGTGTATTTCTGAGTGATAAATTAAAAAAATGTTGCTGTTGTCAAATTATGAATAAAGAAGCAAAACACTGGGCTTATCCAAACCAAATATATTTATCATATTCCTGAACTGGAGAATCTGGCATTTACTGCAAAATAAAGTTAATTGTTAAGGACCCTCATTAAAAAACTTGATGTTTGAAAACAGAATGTGAAATCCTCACCTTTTAATGAAAACCGCACCTGCTAGCTGTAGCCATATAGAAACTGCAAAAGAAAAATTTGTGATTAGTTCGCAACAAGAAGCAATCCTTCACTAAGCCGGATAGATTCAAAATTATGTGTGTTTGATTGCGGAAAAATAAGCTTCAATTCCACTGCCACCGGTCATTCTGAGCCCGGTCAATTAAATATACCTATCCGCTCGTCTGGCTTCACTATTCCTGCTTCACACCTAACTAGAGTATCTGGAATGCTCACCTTTGAGGGAAAACAAACTGGTGCTTGCTTGCTTGTAGGCCGTGGAAACTGGAAGAGAGATTTGCGATTAGTTGCGTTCAAGTAGCAATTACATTGAGTAGCCCCGCAAAGTACACTAAGTCGGAAAGATTGAAAAAATTACATGAATGGGATATAGATAACCTCTTGCGACGTAACTAGGCACACGTCAATGTCACTCGCGTGTATAACAGAAAAATAAGCTTCAATGCAGGAGCCCCCAGTCGTTCTGAGCTCCGTCAACTAAAAATGCTGTAACGGTCGTCTGGCTTCAGTATTCCTGCTTCGGGAATCTTGAATTCTCACCTCTGAGGAAAAGCAAACTGGGACTGCTGGCTCTTAGGCCGTGGAAACCGCCAGAAAGATTTGCGATTAGTTGCGTCCAAGTACCAATTTCTTTGACCAGCCACCTACAGCACACTAAGCCAGATAAATTCAAAATTACATGTGCGTGACATAATATGCCTCTTGTGACAAAACTGGGCACATGTTTTGTCGCCTACAGCAACACTGCAACCAGACAGACAAGCGGTACGGCATATTTAATTGACGAAGCTCAGAACGACTGGGGACGCTTTCACTAAAGCTTGTTTTGCTGCAATACACACGTGTATTGCAGCAAAACAAGCTTCAGTGAAAGCGTCCCCAGTCGTTCTGAGTTCTGTCAATTAAATATGCCGTACCGCTTGTCTGGCTTCAGTACTGCTGCTTCAGAGCAATCTAGAAAATCTAAATCCTCACCTTTGAACAAGAACGAACTGGCGCCTGCTGGCTTGTGGGCTGTGGAAACTGCAAGAGATTTGCGAATAGTTACCTCCAAGTGAATTTTTTTGAGTAGCTAACTACAGCACATTTAAAATTATATGCACGGGACATAGAGGCCTCATGCGACGAACTCCCTTCATCCTTGTTTTCTGTTAACTCTGCTCACCTTCACCACTCGCCTCCAATTTCTGCGCTACTTCTTTAATCTCGATTCGCTGGTTCCCATGGCTTGTGCCAGTCACGAGTCTGTCAGCTCTGCAACCGGCGCCATTGTGGCAAAGACGCCACAGCACCTGGCGCTGGATGTGTTCTCTTAAAGGCCGACGACCAGACACGAGATTCTGCAAGGCAGAAGATCCTTCTCCCCCTGGGGGAGGAGGAAACGGGCAACGGTGGACAGGGTAGAAGAGCCGAGAGAAGGAAGCGAGGGAAAAGTGGAAAGCGCAAACTGGTCGTCGGTCTTTAATATTTTGAGCATGGCTCAAAACCGGTATGTCTGGTATGCCCTTTGCTTATTTGCGGATCGTTCCGAATCAGAGAGTAGGTGCTTCTGTGATCTGGGCGCATGCTCGGTGTTTTATAATAGTTGAAATTGAACTCTGCAGGAATCTTGAAACATAACAAACATAATGTACACGCCAAAAGGCATAGCAAATGAAACACTTACCATCTATCTATTTTCGTTTCTTGTCCGCAAGAAGCTGTCGTATATGTAGCCTCCCTTGCTTAAGCCGTTCCTCCCTAGTGTCCCGGTTGGGTCTCATCCTGATGAATCATCGGTGGAGACCTGACGTGCGGTCAACATCAGATCAGACCTTTTTGAGACAGAACCATATACTTGCTGAGAGGACTTACACCCAAACAAATCTCAGGCATGTCATTTATAGTGCGTTCTGAAATGAGATGCATGATATAAAATGAGGCGTCAATACTGACGCACCCCTTTTGCGAACCTAAACTTTTGAAGGCCTTGTCCCCCTCGCTAGGCGGACAATCACATGAATCCTGGCATGTGAATGAAATTTCTACCTTAACACCCCGACTCAATGCCCATCCCCGAATATTCGACCACCACACTTTAAGAAAAAAAACGATTTTTTTTACAAAACACAGAGTCATCGACCACTTCGACAAAAGCCTGAACCAAGCATACTCGTAGCGTGGCTTGTTTGCTCCGTGCCGCCCCCAAGTTAATTCGGGCCAACAATGTTTTTTTTTTTGTTTGTTTTTTTCAAATGGAACCCACATTTTTAGTTTTGGTTTCACTTGTAGAGGCAGGTGGATACTTTTGTAAAGCTTCCTCCTTATGCGCTTCCGAGTCAACATTTTTGCAATGGCCAACCCCCGGGCTTTGATTTTGCGCTCCTTGACAAATGCTGAAACTCATATAGGCGGGCAATAGCTCGCCTTGAAAATACTTGCTCTTGGTGGCCGAGAACAAACACGTGTTCCTGATTGGCAGCCATTTGCTGCGAAGAATACCTGCACATATCCTAAAGAACCCAGTCTTAGTCTAACACAGATGCTTTGGCCAGACAGACACAAAAGTCTGACACAAGACCACTATAAAGACAGGAAATAGAGTGCCTGTGAGGAATGAAACACACAACACAGATAGGCATCAATCACTCACCTTGAAAATACTTGCTCTTGGTGGCCGAGAACAAACACGTGTTCCTGATTGGCAGCCATTTGCTGCGAAGAATACCTGCACATATCCTAAAGAACCCAGTCTTAGTCTAACACAGATGCTTTGGCCGGACCTGATACAAACCACAAAAAGCAGGAAATAGTGTCTGCGAGAGATAAAAACAGACCCAGGTGGAGAGGCTCGTTCTGTTTCACCTTAGTTAAATAGTGTAGCTCATTTTGCTAAAACAATGCATATTTGCTAAAAAAAAGTATATATATTTTGCCCCATTTAGCAGAGTTTACTGCCAAAGGTATTTGCACACCAGAATAAGTCATACTTAGTAAGTTTTTTTTTTCTTCTTTTGATGAGCCACAACAGAATCCTAAACGGGTGATGAAACAAAATATGAGCCCAGCAAGACAGGCTAGTTTGTCGTGTGCAAGCACAGTGCCTCGGCCGACAAATGAGGTTCTATTCTTGGTCACTTGTCATATTTCGTGGGAATAGTAAAGTGAACGAAAATAAGGCAATCTCTCTTGCAGCTGACAGCTGCAAACAAAATTCATATACCTCGATGAATAACCTGGAAATAAAATTGTGTGGTGGCCGAGTGGTTTCAGGTGTCAAATTTTAAACTTACAGACTGTGTAGTTCTGGTTTAAGTCCTTTAAGTCCTCCTAATCTAAATTGTTTTTCTTTTCTCAATTTTTGAGGCACTAGCACATAATTTATATGCTAATTCACCTTTAGAAGCATTTTAATTATACTCGGCGGCTTCCTAGTGCCCGTAATAGATTCTCAGTAAGAGTGGCTTCTAATTGTTTTTTCTTGCTCTCGCTGCTGCTTGCTTCCTCACCCTTAAAAGACTGACAACTCGACACAAAAGTAAAAAAAAAAATGTGTTTCAAATGTGATGAAGATCAGCATTTACAAGTTGTACCCCTCCTTCATGCCCCGACCATGCCACCATACCATACCTGAGTGCAGTGACGAATGGTCCCAGGTGCTGTGACCCGGCCATATATGGCCTTACAGTGTGATGCGACTCATGCAGCACCTATGCTTCATGATGGAGATAGTGTGTGAGGTGCGACCTGCTAGAGCTGTGCACTACAGCTTTACAGCCTGCAAAGGGTGGGAAGATGCCCGTCCCTTTGCAGAGCTCGCAATAGCTCACCAAGAAGCTATTGCAAACACTAGGGAGCCACAGAGTGTGAATAAAAGCACTTCTGAATGTGAATTAGTGTGCAAATCATGTGTCTATACGTTAAAACTAAAAAAAACATATACATGTATATGCACATGTATAAATATATATATATGTATCAGGGATGGGCAAAACACATGCAAATATATTGAAATACAAATACAAAATACTTCGTCAAAAATCTATTTAATTTCAAATCTAATTACATTTCCAAAAAAAATGTAAAGGGATATTGAACCAAAGAATTTAGTGTCCATAATAAGTGGCGCACGTTCTTTCCACGAGCCAGCAGCCGCCGGCGTGGGCGAGCACACGCAACGAAAATTACGTCAAAGACCTCCATCCTCGCTTAAGAGGACAGTGAAATGCGTGGGATTCGGGCCAAAGGAGACTAAAGCCAGGCTTTTCATCTCTACAAGTGACAGCTACGTGCTTGTTAGACCAACTAATCGCTTACCTGTTACACCAGACATCACTGTGTAGATGAAAAACTTGTCTTTATTCTCTTTTGGCCCGAAGCCCATAGATTTCACTGTCATCTTAAAGGGGAACTCCGGCGATATTTTGAGCAACCCCAACTAACCATATATTCGAAATCGCCGTCCGTTACTCTTTTCGGTATGCTATTTAGTATCGCGAAATTCAGAATAGTTTTTGTGAAATCGGCAAATGAAAACGACGCCAAAACGAAGATTCGAATATACCCGCGCTTTTCATTGCCCTGAACGTCACGGTTGGGCTGGATTGCGGTTCGAGCAGGCAGTCTAAATATGAACTATGCCGAGCATTTGTATCGTGCTGCTGCGCGGGGGCTGGAGCGACCTTCCAAAGCATTCATTTGACACCATGAAACTGTTTGTAATCAGATGTGAACAAAGTCTACAGCCCAAAGAGTGAACTCCTACCCAACCAAGACGTCACTTTTTCAATGTTGCCCGTAGAGCTTTTCACTTTGAAAAACACGATGAGGTCCAAAATTGTAAATTCCGTAACTGCACGAAAAAACGTTATTTTGTCCAAATATTTGGGTTACTATTCAGCGATGTTTGTTGGTGTGTCTAGCAAGCTTTTAGGCAAATCGGGGACTATGAAGAAAACGGCGGAGTACCCCTTTAACCGCGAATGGAGGTCTTTGACGTCATTTTTGTTGCGTGTGCTCACGCACACCGGCTGCTGCTGGCTCGTAGAAAGAATGTGCGCCACTTATTATGGACACTAAATTTTTTGGTTCAGTATCCCTTTAAGGACAAGATACAAATACAACCAAATGTGTTTGGTCTCTCCCAAATACATTCCTCAAAATTAGCGTCAGCGACTTCAGGGCACCTGCAACGGGTTTCTGGGTATCTCATTTTAATTTTGTATCGCACACTCGGGAGTTAGTGTGCGAGGCTCTAGTAATATTATAGAAATATAATCACAAAAAATGTAATCAGCTTGGACGTAATAGGTTAAAAAAGTACAGAGCTTCAAAACAGCTTTTTTTTTTTTGTCGATTACATTTTGTTATAGACCAACAAAGAACCGAGACGACCAAGACGCGCAGCACTATCTAAAGAATTTTTTATTGTTGCAACTCGCACCAGTTACGAAAATCTGGACAGCCCGCGCATTTAGAATGTTCCAGGCAAAAGTATGGATGGAAATCAGGCTGGAAAGCATCACAAGTGGTCACAGGCACTTATTTAGCCAGTCCGCTAGTGAACGTCGATTTCGTCACTATTCTTGCCCTGGACTAGCACCGTAATCATAAAATCACTAAACGTTTGTGCTTGATTGAGAGACACTGCATTCGGTGCAGAACGTAGTTTTCTTCCTACTCTGAACACATCTTAGGTGAGCAAATTGAGTCGTGACAATAAATTTGAGGGATGCATTTTCGCCCACAAAATTGTATATAATTACAATTGTATTTGAAATACCCACATTTTAATATTTAAATACACACATGAAATACATTACCCAATTTGTAATTAAATACAAACGCAAAATACACAATGTATTTGAAATACGTATTTCAAATATATGTATTTGCAATATTGCCCATCCCTGATATGTATATATGTGTGTCTGTGTGTGCGTGCGTGCGTGCGTGCGTGCGTGCGTGCGTGCGTGCGTGCGTGTGTACTAAAAAAAGGCAAAAAAAAAATTCTCCTCGTGGGTTTGAATTAAGAGCTCCACTGCCCTCGATTTCAGTTTACTAAGGCCCGCTTCAGACGTGGCAACTTTTCCAGCAATTTTGAGGTTGCTGGCGGGTTGTTCCCTAGGTTTTCCCAGATCAAAACAAATTGTTGAGATCGGGTTCGGCTCGAAATGGACGAGCAACTCGAGCAACTAGGAGAAGTGTGAAGCGGCAGCAGCCAATCAGGAATGCAATATTTTCACGTGACATCCCTGTGGTGGTGACAATGACAGCTAAAGACTTGGTTCTGGTTTGAAATGGATCGTTTTTGGAAATAAACATTTTCAAAAAGACGAGTTAGTATTCTCAGCACAGTTTAAAGATATAAAAACATGTTTTTTATGTAACTGTGCATCTAAATAAAGCAAGGAAAATAAAATTTCATGATGATGATGCAAGCTTTGTTGTCATTATCATCACCACCACAGGGGTTTTCAAACATCTCCGAGTTGCTTGTCCGTTTCGAGCCAGACCAGATCTCAGCAATTCGTGTCGATCTAGGGAAAGCTATGGAACAACCCACCAGCAACCCCAAAATTGCTCAAAAAGTTGCCCCGTCTGAAGCGGGCCTAAGACACTCTATTGTCTGGTACAGAGACCATTTAGGAATGTTTTGGTGTTTAAACGTTGTACTACCCTTTTTACAAAAACAACAACAGAAAAACACATTTCAGAGGGAAAAGTTAAGGAAAGGGAATGTACCATTATGTTCAGTGAAGTTCGGTGACATGACCCGGGACTCGAGCAGGAACACTGTTATCCTTGGTGTGGCCCCATGAGACTCTTGCTGTCTTTGCTGGGGCTTATCTAACTGAAGTACCTGTACCAAAAGTAGAAGAAACATATGTGCATAACACTCATTATTCACAAGAAAATTTGTCAACATCCAAACTGACGCATGGAGAAAATTATGTGGGGAATTTTTCGGCCACCTTAGCCGAGTCCCCTATTGTGGCCAATGTTTCATTGCAACTTTAATTGTACTGAACAGTTATAGGGTATATTACAAAGTGCAATATGGTTTGTATGAAACTACAACACACAAAACAGCACTCTAATACAGTATGTTGAGGTATCTCTGAACAAATTTTAGGGTTTCATGGTGCCTCCTTCAGATAACTGATGTTGAACAAGAAATATGTGCACCAAGGAGTGAGCAAACAGTGACTTCCAATTAGTCCCGCGACATGTCGACAAGGAGTGCGATGTGTAGAAGGTCATCTAGAAGTATGCAGCCAAGAAGAAAAAGCAAAATATAACGTTATCAGAATAAGATCACATAAAAAAGGCTTCAGAGCAGTGAGACAATCTACAATCTAGGCACAGTAATGAGTCAACCGACGTACAGCCGCGATTCCCTTTGCGTCGATTGAGGTGAAACGTGACGGACAGAAAAATAAGAAACGCGTTTTTTGTTTTTGTTTTTCTTTTTTACATTATGTGCTTTGTGCAGCCGATAGCAGGGCGGTTGGGCGGTGTCACAAAAATTTGACCCACTCGCTAGCGTTTTTAACTTCTTTCGGCGTCAGTCGGCACCACAGATCAGTGGTCGGCACTCATGGTCTACCCGGGAGAAAAAAAAGTATGAGCTCAGAGCCGAGCGCCGATCGCGACTTGCCTAAAGAGAAGCTCCGGTAACAGTTCGGCGACTCGTCAGCTTCAAACAACGCCTCTTCGAACGAGCCCGCGAATCCAATGCCTCGAACGGTCGCGGCGGCAAGCACGCCGGAAGGAAGGGGGCTGGAGGCGGTGGCAATCAGTTCGTCGAACGACGTTTCATGGACAAATCGTTTCGTCGACACTGCGATGTTTCATCGACAGATCGTTTCGTTGAAACGAGCACCCGCTCGTTTCATCGACAGATGCTGCGACGTTTCGTCGACAGCTCGCTCTGCCAGCTCCCGGCTCCGCAAGCTGCGCCTCCTCGCGACCTCTGCACCTGCGCGGCGCGCGGCCTTGTGTTGGATGGATGGATGGATGTAAGATGGCCGACTGGGCAAAGTATGGCGAACCAGTGCGCAGCCATCTTGCCTCACCAACCTAAACTATCGCAATTTTTTTTTTGCTTACGCCCTTTTCCGCAACCCACCATTTGATCAAAGTTTTACTTTGTGCCTAAGCATATTTTTCTCCACCGCTTTTCTTCTTTCAATAAGTTTCGGTTCTATAAACGGGCATCGGAACTTGTAAATATCCGAATAGGCCGCGCGCGAATTCCTGCGCGCTCTTGCTTTTCCATCTGGCACGGATGAGAGCGAGAGGATAGCGCAGTTGCTCACCTTGGAGAGCAACTGCGCTAGGCATCGTCTTTTTCATCCGTTAAAAGCGCATGTACCTTAAGTTTCCGGCATTCCTTTCAAAACCGCAAAAAAAGAAAACAGTTTGTCGACGAAACGTTTTACGGTGGTGCCGTCCACAAAACGATTGTCGACGAAACGTCACACTGTCGACGAAACGTGTGTCCATGAAACGTGCGTCCACGAAAAGTTGTCCACGAAACGTAATTCCACGAAACGAGTATCGGCGAAATGATAGGGACCCAGGCGGTGGCAATCAGTTCGTCGAACGACGTTTCATGGACAAATCGTTTCGTCGACACTGCGATGTTTCATCGACAGATCGTTTCGTTGAAACGAGCACCCGCTCGTTTCATCGACAGATGCTGCGACGTTTCGTCGACAGCTCACTCTGCCAGCTCCCGGCTCCGCAAGCTGCGCCTCCTCGCAACCTCTGCGCCTGCGCGGCGCGCGGCCTTGTGTTGGATGGATGGATGGATGTAAGATGGCCGACTGGGCAAAGTATGGCGAACCAGTGCGCAGCCATCTTGCCTCACCAACCTAAACTATCGCAATTTTTTTTTTGCTTATTCTTATTTATTTTTATTTTTTTTTTGGGGGGGGGGGGGGAGGGGGGGGGCGCCGATTGTACTGATTTTGGAACTTACGATTTCAATGGTTTCGCTCGTGTCTTTGCCCGAACCTTTGGGGAAGCGTTGTCAAAGCCGGAAAGTTTTGTTGTGACCACTGTCCTTTCTCAAATTAGATTTTTAAAACATTCAACAATATGCGCTGCTCTTGAGGGCTACGCTTTCGGCAATATACGTGATCGAGGCGTCTGTACGTCATCGAATGCAACCCTTCGCGAGCTAGCCGCTGGCACTTCTACTGTTTTGAAAAAGTGGCTGGGTTATTTCCAGAGCAAGCGTATCTTTCCGTGCGTCGCGTCTTTTGGTAGAATCCTCGAGAGCCACCTGAACATAGCATAGATAGTCCACATGTAAAAACACTGAAGCTCTTAAAGAAAATTTGAAAGAATAAACGAGGCCTGTTTGCGGGTGCACACAGCCTTCCTACCGTTGAAAATGGCATAAAATCGGTTTTCAAGCTAATTGGCATCTGGACTTAGCCGCTACCAATAAACTTTGAAGGACACTGAGCATTTTCCTACGCGTGGTTTACTTTTACGGTAATAAAACACGGTTGTTTTCTCCTCCAAACACTGGGTATTCAACGTACTGTACTTACGAGACCGCATACGATTTTTAGTCTTTAGCATATTTAGCTTCTGGATAATCAATAGCACAATAGTTCTGCATATGTTATGCCTGTACTGAAATTTTGCATGCAGATAAGCCAATATGTGACCAAAAAACATTAGATTTGGAAGCCGCTCTTTTATGAAAAGAGCTACGAACTTGCCCCAGGTATCTGTCTGCTGGCATCGATAAAAGAACGATTTAATGTCGCGTGTGAGGACCAGTCGGCTGCTGCCGACAGATTTCGTCTAGTGGTACTACCGCCTCCAAGGCCTTGCATGTGGCGGCTGCTAGAGCTCTATATAGCTCTTACCGAGCAGAGTCGCGCAATCCTTTGAACCCCGTGTTTTGCCGACAACATGGCCGACAGAGCGGCTCGGCGCGAGTCACGTGGTACTCAGGGTTCCAGGAGGCGGCCCGCCCTATAGGAAAATATATGGAGATCGACACAACACGGCTGATTAAAAAATGAACGGCGAGTTCACACTTTTCAAAACTAGTCTGTCGTGAAGGTAGTAAAGTACTAAACATTTTATCAAAGTTTTAATAATAATGGATGCGTGTGCAAATTTTAAGAAGGCAATTTCCAAGGCAATGGCGTTTGAAGCAGACGATTTTTGCTCGCAGCGGAGATGGGCTTTTCGGGTTGGCCGGAGCGGGTCACGTGGATGGTGTGACGTCGCCGTGTCGTCTGCTGCATGATGCCGCTCAGGCAATTTTTTTAAAAAACGTCACGTCCTTGCGGGGCACAAAACTTAGCGCAAATTATTCTCAAATGTTTCATTATTATGTCAAAAACGATTGCCATTCCGTAAATCCCCACAATACTGAAGAAACAATGATTTTCTCACGTTCTTCATGCATTTCTGACCGCAGTTGGAACCTCCGGGCGTTCGCCGCTAGTCGCCGAGACGCGGCGTTCTAGATTGCGCTACTCTGCTCCGAAGGAGCTATATAGTGCTCTAGCGGCTGCTCGAGAGAAGCTATATAATGCATTAAGATGCAGATTCGATATCAACTATGGTTTACTTTGTGCAATACGACTAAACTTTGTGCACTGTTTTATTTATCTGTTACCAATTCTCGTGTTTATTTAATTATTTTTTGCATTTGCAATGTAATTTTTTTTTTTAGGTTTACTCGCGGGCAGCGTGCTCCCGGTAGTGCGAGTGTTATTGGTTTTCGTACTTTTGTTATTTATTTTTATTTGACATTGTTTACAGCCACGTATAAGTCGCAGTAGCCAGTAAAACACTGCATCACTTTTCCTTTCGAATATTTCCCAATTGAAAATTCCATCAAAAATACGTAATTTGGGACACTGACTGCCAGTCAGCAGCCTTGGTGGAACGTGATGGACCATCAGACGTCATCTGATGGTCCATCAGATGACGTCTGACTGCCACTGCCAAGGGAATTTCATCAACAAGGGCAGCATTTATATAAGAGTAAAGCTATACGCACTCATAAATATCGCCAAATGCCTCGATAAAACAAAAAGTTCGAGAAAAAAAAAAAAAAAGCAGCACCAACGCGCATCGAACCCGCGACCACATGCGTACAAATCGGACACCCTAACCACTATGCTACGCCCCACCGTTAGAGAAACTCGATTGGACTATCCGTTTTATACAAAATGCTTTGGCTGCAAATGCAGTTAAGCCGTCAGCATGTTATGCAAAGCACTCGTACATCACTCCCCGTACTTCAGTTCTACTCACCTGCCATGTAGAGTACTTTCGCGTCGTAGAACGATCCTTTTGTTCGCGCATCACCGGCCCAGTAGACCTGGTACACCCTGTCGTCTTCAACTACACCGCTTAAGTCCCTTACATCGTCGGAACTCACAACAGGCTGGGTCTTGTCGAGTAGAAATTCTACTAAAACATAAGACATTGTAGAGCCCGGGCAGGATCGACAGGTTAAAGCAAGCGGACAAACAAACCGAGTCGAGAGCGATCGTTCATGAAAGCTCGGCGAAGCCTCTGTGGGCGAAGCGAAGTCGGCGAAGTGCGAAGTGTCGTGTTCGGCGCTTCCGCGGCCTTCTGATCAAGGTTGTCGGTCGGTTGCGTGTCATATCTCTAACGTCAGCGGTTTTATGGGCTCACGTCCCGAAATCGTTTTCTCGTGCATAGATTACTTTTCGTATTCATAGATTTGACGAAATAGTGGTATCCGAACGAACTTTACGTCCTTTGACTGTACGTCTGTCTGCACGTCAAAGCTTTCTGACGTACAGTCAGAGACAATCGATGTACAGTCAGAATCACCACCAAGACATCCTGATGGCATTTCGCGGCGGCCGACTGCCACCAGGAAACCATCAGAAAGCCGACAAGCGGGGTCTGACTGGAGTTTGACTGTCGGTCAGAGTAACTTGTTGGCCAATCAGACATGCTTGACGTACAGTCAGGCACAGTCAGCGGTCCACTAGAAAACATTGACTGCCAAGCAGGGTTACATTGATGGATTTTTCCTTCGGGTTGAGGGCAATGAACATGCTTAATTTCAATTGAAATATTAGGGTTGTTATGTTGCCATAAAAGGCTGCAAGCTGTATTTTTGTTTAAAAATAACCAATATGAAGAGAGAAAAAAACAGTGCTTACGCCCTTTTCCGCAACCCACCATTGGATCGAAGTTTTGCTTTGTGCCTACGCATATTTTTCTCCACCGCTTTTCTTCTTTCAATAAGTTTCGGTTCTATAAACGGGCATCGGAACTTGTAAATATCCGAATAGGCCGCGCGCGAATTCCTGCGCGCTCTTGCTTTTCCATCTGGCACGGATGAGAGCGAGAGGATAGCGCAGTTGCTCACCTTGGAGAGCAACTGCGCTAGGCATCGTCTTTTTCATCCGTTAAAAGCGCATGTACCTTAAGTTTCCGGCATTCCTTTCAAAACCGCAAAAAAAGAAAACAGTTTGTCGACGAAACGTTTTACGGTGGTGCCGTCCACAAAACGATTGTCGACGAAACGTCACACTGTCGACGAAACGTGTGTCCATGAAACGTGCGTCCACGAAAAGTTGTCCACGAAACGTAATTCCACGAAACGAGTATCGGCGAAATGATAGGGACCCGGCTGGAGGCGCTCGAGAGGTATCCGAAAGAGACGCGGCGCTGGTTTCTACGTCTATTTCGCACATGAGATAAGAAGATAGCAAAGCTAGGCGAGTGTAACACTGACTGACGTTACATTGGAGTACACGCAATCGAAATGACGCCTGCAACAGAGCACAGCTAGAGGCATTCAACATGGGACACGAGCGTTAAAATAAGCTGCGATTTCAAAACATCATGTCTCTTTTCTGTCCTTCGGTATATACTTTGATCAGTGTATACCAAAGCAAAGCATTCAATGCTGGAAGTAATAAAGTCGTGTATACGTACCTTTCGAAGCGATTGAAAGTGCGTTGGTTTCGCTTGCAGCTCACGAGCAAGGAGCACTGTCTGTCGGCCTCGCGTGCTCGCCATGCTCGCGTCTCGACGGGTCGCCCGCAGCAGTGCGCATGCTCGGCGCACGGCGGCACGGCGGTTTGGCCAGGCCCAACTGGGCTCGGCGGCCCGGCTACGTAGTCAGGCGGCTCGGCTCGCTCCCTTCGAACTCCAGCTGGTGCGCGCGCTGGTTGACGACTTCTCAAAAAACGAGGCTGTAACGTATCGTTTGACGCCGCAAATGCACGTATTTTCCACGTCGTTTTCTTTTTTTTTAACAGTGTGTGAATCGGTGTGATGAAGATAAAGAGTGGTTGGTGAAATGTGTTCGCATGTGGTCGTGGATTTTGTTAACGACGTAGGATTACCCCGAAAGGTGGGTCAATATCGAGAAATGTGCGCGTAAGATCTGTCAAACCTACTCACCCTCGTTATTTTTTCGTGCGCTGCGAACCGACATTGTCACGGATCGCGTTCGATTTGGGTTCGAACACCGGTAAACCATTTTTTGTTGCATTACAACGACTGCAATAAACATTTGTAAAACGATCACTTCAATAAGAACGTCGTTAATGGACTTTTTCATTGAAAGGTAGGTCGCGGGTGTACCAGATAGTTATTCTGAATGGTTTGGTGGTTATCCAGCTTTTCAAGCATGCAAGACTGTGTCTACTGTGTGCCGTACCAACTGCTTTATATACTTGCACTGTCAATCAATGTTCATGTTTTCGCAAGCCAGAACGTTTGTGTTAAAATATCTTCCTCTCGCGTGTTGCCGTGTGGTAACTCGTGCAGTTTTACGATATCATTCACGCGATGTCATATATGTGGGCATACCGATATCCACATGTTGCTTCACGAACGCTGAATATCGTGTTACGTTTTCTGTTGTTGGTAACTATGTATCCGTTCTGAGATATATGCACGCGATATCATATTGGACCCGTGATCGACGACCGATATTTATATATCGTGAGGCCGTACAGTATGTTCATATCGGTCACCAAAAGGCACGCGATGTCGTATTCTATTCCAATAACCACGCATTATCGGGGTATTGTGCTCCAATATGGTGTTGTAACCACAAGTTCTATCGGGATATTGTGCTTCGATATCGTGTTGTATACCAATAACCGCAAGTTCTATCGGGACATTGTGCTCCAATATCCTGTTGTATACCAATAACCACATACTATATCGGGATATTGTGCTCCGATATGAATTCCCATCGTGCGTATCGGGTTAATCGGATAACAATAAGATTTCATTGGTTTCCATCAACTTCATTGGAATACAATATTTCCAATAAGCCGAGTTCATATTGGCCTTTTTCAATAGGGGAGCGTTCTCTGTAATCAGTGTCCTTAGTCTGCTCCAATGTCCGCACCACCGTGTCCCTTTCACATTAAGGCTCTTCTGCCATTGAATATCTTCAGCGTCCTAGATCCGCCGCAGCAGACGAAAGAGGCATCCTGGTCCGAGCGAGTCCAGTTGTGAAGAAATTAATTAAATTCTTGAGTTGATTCGCTCGAGCAGATTGCCCCTGACATATAGATGGCGTTAAACACGGCAAGCAGACAGGGCATACTTCTCAAAGATTGGAGCACCATATCGGCACTGGCGTCATCTACTCGTTACTGAGCTTGATACTAAATAACCATGAACCAACTTTTATATGTTGAGAATGCCAGCCAGCGCGCGGCTTTTACACTGGGGTGTGCTTGCCTTCAACGCGGACCTTATTGATTCAACTCCTTGTTTTTGAACACAAAGAAAACAAAATGCTGTTCCCTGCAGAAAATAGCACACGCACGTTGTGTGTGCGAGTACCTTCTGATGTGGCCCGTTGATATGGAAATTAGAAGAACCCGGAATCGGTTTATTGATGCCAGATGATGTTATAGCGTGATATATATTTCAGTGTTGATGTTGCTGTCCGATGTAATTTGTCCAAAAATATTGAGACACAATCATTGAGCGTACCCCAATCTTTTGGTTAAAAATATTTTTATGCTCATTTCTAAGGAACGATTACAATGTGTAATGTGGCTCTTCTCTAATAATTTTTTTCTGCTGTTTTATGAAGAAGGCTTTAGTAGATATCAGACCTCAGCACGCAGGTGCGGGAAGATGCCAAAATTACACTAAAGAGGGCAGGGTTGCAATATATATTATATAAATGTCATGCTATAAGGGGTTAGATTGAAATGTTCCCAATTAAGTATGTGTTATACTTAATGGATAATTGTCAAAATGTATGCTCCTCATCGACTGGAGAAAAGCGCGTGTCAGTAAAATATTCTGGTCAGATATCTTTTCCAGCGTGTCTATCCACCGACCGATGTCCCATCCATTGGCAATTTGCAAATTTTTAAAACACGTGGAGCGCAAAAGTGTCACATAGTTTTGAGAAGAAAAAAAAGATTGTCAAACCTACAGCACAGCTTTCTGCACGGTGTGTCAACGCTTCTACTTCCGACGTGTCATGACTTTGCGATTGCAGTAAGTAACAAGAAACAGATCGATGCAGTATTCTTGGGCTTCGCCAAAACGTTTCGCAAAGTTTGCACAACAGAATTCAACCGAAACTTTAAGCAATTAGAATTTTCGAACACTTGACTGACTGGATTATATTTTATTAGAGAGCCGAGTTCCTTTTTTCTCAAGTGATATTCACTCCACCGTCAATCTCCTAGTCTCGTCGTGGGTGCATCTAGAGGAAATTTCTATATATAGAAAACCTACCCTTTGGTACACCACGTGTTCTAAACATTTGCAGCTTGTCCATGGACGGGACATCGCTCGGTGGGTAGACACGCTGGAAAAATTGTCGAACCAGAATATTTTAATGACACGCGCATTTTTCCAGTCGATGCGAAGCGTTCAGTTTGACAAAGATGCATTAAGTATAGCACATACATTATGGAAAACCTTTTAATGTAACGGCTTATACCATTACATTTATTTAATATAAAATGCAACACGGCCGTCTTTACTGTATTTTCGGCATCTTCCCGCACCTGCGTGCTGAGGTATGAAATCTACTAGAGCCTTCTTTATAAAGCAGCAGAGAAAATAAGTAAAGTTTCACATTATACATTCTCATCTTGCCTTAGAAATGAGCATGAAAATATTATTTACCAAAAGATAGGGTACACTCAATGATTGTGTCTTACTATTCGTGGACAAATTACTTCGGACTGCCAGAAAGATAAACACTGAAGCATGTCACGCTATAACGTCATTTGGCATCAATCAACTGATTCCGGGTTCTTCTGATTAAAATATCGACGGCCACATCAGAAGCTACTCGTACACGTAAAGTGCGTGCGCATTTTTCTGCAGGGAACAGCATTTTGTTTTTCGTGTGTTCAAAACCGAGGAGTAGGATAAATAAGGTCCGCGTTGAAGGCAAGCACACCCCAGTATAAAAGCCGGGCGCTGGCTGGCAATCTCAACGTATAAAAACTGATTCATGGTTATTTAGTATCAAGCTCAGTAAAAAGTAGGTGACGCTAGTGCCGATATGGTGCTCCAACCTTGCTTGCCGTGACTAACACCATCTATATGTCAGGGGTAATCTGCTCCAGTGAATCAACTCAAGAATTTAATTTATTCCTTAACAAATGGATTCGCTCGGACCAGGATGCCACTTTCGTCTGCTGCGGCGGATCTTCAGACGCTCAAGATATTCAGTGGCAGAAGAGCGATCGATGTGAATGGGACACGGTGGTGCGGGCATTGGAGAAAACTGAGGACCCTGATTGCAGAGAACGCTCTGTACAAATTTCGGACCTTTCTTATGATGTACCGTCATCGAAGAACGCCAGAAGCCTGCATCGAACCGGTTCCCAAACACTACAGGTTTTGGTAGGCATCAATATGGCTGGTGATCTGACATTTCGAGACATGCCTACGTTCTCCTTATGTGTTTAGTAGTCACCAGATGAGGCTTTGTTGCGTTGCTTCGGCGCATTCCAGAAATCTGAAATGGAAACCATTGGTATGGGTTCCAATCGGTCCCGCGACTATAAACTGCACGAAACCGATCACTTTTTAAAAAAATCACCCAGAGAAAAGTGTCCCGCGCAGTCTCCATTCGTTTCCCGGGAAGCCGGTAAGCATAGCCTGCACGGCATCGCCCAGCATATCTAAACGCTTTACCACTTGCGATTAGTACAGCAGAAAAATAATACTAGAGGCTCTGAACCTCCTCAATGCAACACTAGTAAAGACAGTATTCGCAGCAGGGGATAGTGAGCGCAATTACCGGGCCAAGAAAATTTTTATTTTTATGCTCTCTGAGAAATTCTCTAGGGGGCTTTATTTGAGATTTTGATCTACCAAAAGTCATTAATATCGTAACATTCAAGTTCTACGTTAAGGAATCAGGCACAATTCCAGCCACTCCAAAGTATGCCCTCGAGGGTCGAAGGTGTCGCTGATTTTTTCGGTGCTATGTCTCGCATTCTGCTTCATCACACTCGTTGTTACAGATTTATTAGATGCTATTACATCTGGGATAATTGTGGCCAACGGCGCCATGCTTGCGACGTTCTATTCGACGTCTTGTGCTTTGCAAGCCTCTGTCCGCTCCTGTACAAGTCGAAGCTTTGTCGTCCTAGCATGGGTCCCGGCCCCCGGGCAGCTTCTCCCTTTCGGTGTACTTCAAAGGCCAATTGACTTCGTGGCTGGTCGCTCGCATTCCTGAACCAATCGTGGACAATATGATTAAACTCGAAATGGCTTTGTGTGCTCGCGCAATTCGACCGTGCATTACCAGATATACACCGTGGAACTCAGACGTCCTTGATCGATAGGGAAGTGTAGTCCTGAGAAAATTTAAGAGATCTCTTGACCCGCAGGCGGACGAGAGCGCGTTTTATGACTGTTTGAAATACACTTCAAAGAAAGGCTGGCTGTGCATCGCGGTTAGATAGAGGCCATGCCTAATGCGCTCTTTCTACCCCAGATTGAGCGCGCGCACGGGGAGAGCTGTTCCCCGATGTGGCTGATATAGTTTCCCGCCTTTTCAATAG